CAAATCAATTTAAATTTAAAAAAAAAAAAAAAAGAAAAAGAAAGAAAGAGCTTTGTAGGGACCAGCAGTTAGAAAAGAAATAAAAAGAAAAGGTAATGTCATGTGTGTATACCCAAGTGATACATGTGTGGTACCATGACATTGTACATCGTTAGATCTGAAGAGACCTAAAAAAAATAAAAGTGAAAGATAACTATATGAAAAGGTTGTTGTTTAGTGCTTATTTTTCATTTATTGATAGTCTCTCCCACTAACATATAAGTTTTACAAAGGTAGATTGACAGTGCCTAGCTATAAACGTTGATTGAATGAAAACCTGTAACAGTTTTTCAGTAAGTCTACTAGAGAGTAAGGAAAATGTAATATGTAGACGTTTTAATATTAAATTATAAAACTTACAGTAAACATGATGATACAAAATATATGGCAAATTGGGGCTGGCAGCTGATGTGGTGGTTAAGGTGTTGAACTCCCACATGGCCAACCATGGTTTGAGAACCAGATCTCGTGGCTTTGCTTTCTTACTTTCCCTCCCTGTCCCTCTCTGGTCAAATTAAAAAATAAATAAAGTTAAATAAAATAATTCTTTAAAAAAATCGATGGCAAATTACAGTGGAACACTTGTGTATGGACCAGCTACCTGGCCTGGCAATGAAGGTAGCTGGAGCCCATATGGCCCACTGCATGGTTCCAGCACTGGATCGGTGGCTTGAAAAACACACCAGGCACAGGGCAATTTCTCACTTACCCTTTCACTGGGTCTCTGTCTCTCTCCTCTCCAGTTGGGCACACAAAAACCAAACAAAAAAAAAAGGGAAAGAAAGAAAGAAAAACATACCAGCTGCCTATGCATGCGTGCCCCAAAATCCCAAGAGGAGAATGGAAGAGAAGGGATCATGGCATGGCTTTCACCTCCAGGAAATGCTTTCTCACATTTCTTCTCTTTCTGTTTCTCTCCAGCTAACACACCTGGACAATAGCAAAAAAAAAAAAAAAAAAAAAAAAAAAAAAAAAGTGTACAAAACCAAAAAAACATGAAAAATTAACTGAAAAATAGAAGAAATACTAAATATCCATTTATTTAGAAAGATTCAATACAGTATGTGAAATTTGTTATGAGGAACTAAAATCCTTCTTTTCCCTGTGCTTATGTTCTAAACAAGTTACTAGTTGCATTATTTTATTATTATTTTTTTTGGAGAGGCTTTTGCTATAGGACATGTGCACTTGCCAGAAAGGTAGAGAGAGAGAAAGCAAGACATTACCCCCCAGGGGGGATGGCCACGCAGCAATCCCTTCTGCTCCATTACCTTCTTGGGATCTTGGGCAGGCACACACACACGTGCCTGTGTGAGTTTAAGCCACCGGGTCCAGAACTCCACCGAGGTCAACTACTACATGGGAGTCCAGCAACATAGCCACTATGCCAACTGCTGGTCCCATCATCTACTTTTTTAATAAAAGTGCCTGAGGAAACATGGCAAAATTCAAATTTATCACACCTGTACACTTAGATCGTTATGTCAGAATAAACTAAAAGCACTAGTATGAAATTCACATCAGCTCTGTATCTGCTGGCATTATTTATGCTTTTTATCAAGTATCTCTAGTCAGATCCGCCCAAAATTTATTGTAGCACAAAAGTATACTCATCTGTATCCTGAGTATAACAAACACCAGTAAGCCATCTTCTGAGTTTCCAATTGCAAAACAAAAAACACACATAGCACCCATTACCTGTAACAAAAGTGGCAGGACTCTTGGCCCCTTGACAGGTTCTGCCCCAATTGAAATGGAGATTAGTATGAAATGAACCCAGAAAACCTCAAAAGCTTTCCTTATCTTATTAGAAAATCTCATGTAAAACCTCTCATAAGTTTAAAGCTGGCTTTCACAGAAAGGTTAAGAATTTTTTACTTTGCTATATTCAAGTAGGAAGAATTAAGAAAAGCCCTTTTCCTCCACCTCAGCTGATTAGTCCCCATTCACACGACTAATACCAAGTACCTACTGTGTCCCAGGCTCTGTAGAAGGTGCTGTTAATAAAGCTGGTAAAGATACAACAGTCCCTCACCCTCCTGTAGAACCTGTTAGCACTAAGGTTCTTTTTTTAAGTCAAACAGTATCTTAATTCAGTACTGTTTTTAAGTAGTTATCTTTTCCAAGTATTGCTTATGACACAGATGCAAATGAAAATCATCTTAGCAAAATTACCCAAAGAGTAGTTTAATTTTTTAAACACACACTGAACAGCAGGCTCATTTTCCTAAATACCATATTGATAAACTCAATTACTAGTGTAAATATGGAGCCTGTAGTCGAACTAAATAATAGGAACGTTAAGTTCTTGGTTGCTAACTATAATGAACTATAGCTGTATTTGGGATGTGTATATACATCATATCTCACACATGCAAACGCGAATATTGTTATTCATTACCACCGTTCACAACTAATACGTAGCTTTTCGTAAGACTGGTTAAGGCCGCTTTAAGTAAAAGGTTAACTTATCCTCACAAGTGAATAGAAACAGAAACATCCAACTTTGTCTATCAGCTTTAGTGACTGTCCAAAACTGACATGTGACTGTTTCAAATTGACATTTTGGACCTTCGCTCTTTTTCTTCAGATAAATTTTCATAAAATATTTTACGCGAAACACATTTCAAAGAATACCAGACAGTCCAGGCCTAATCTTAAGGCTGCCTGTAGCTCCGCGAAACAGAAAGGCCAGGGGATGTAAAACCGACAACTCCCTCTCCCCTCCGAGACTGGCCCCCAATTCCACTCATCCTCAGTGACTTGAAACTTTCCACGCACGCCCCACAAGACCCGCAGGCAGTCTGCTCTCATCCTCAGGCCACCACCGAAAGACGTCCAAGACTTCAGGCGCGCTCTCTCGAAGGACGCCCCCAAGCCCGGCTCAGAGCCGGAGCCAGCAGCGCCCTTCGGCTCCCCGCTCGCTACCGAGTCCCTCGCCCGGAGCCCGGCGTGCTCCAGCACATTCCTTCCCGGCCACGGTCCACCCCCGTACCTCCGCTGCCTTTCCAACACCAGCGCACAGGACTGACTTGCCGAGGGTCCGGGGAACAAGCTTTCCTGCCAATTCCTGCCCTCTCCCCGCAAAGGCAGAAACAGACGTACCTTCCAGAAAAGTAATCTCCCCAGCGCTGCCGCCGCTCTTGCCGGCCGCCATCCTCCTCCTCCCACGCCGCCGCCTCCTTAATCCA